TTTTAGACGGAAAAAAAACGATTATCCTGAATTTAAAAATTAAATAAGTAGATACAAATCTAAAACTATCTTTGTTTAATTATCAAAATAATTATGTAAAACATTCAAGCATAATGAGCAATGCTTGCAAATAGTTTTTTGCATTCTAGCAACCAATTTAAACATTTTACATAATTATTTCGATAGTTCAACAAAATTATTTTCAGATCTGTATCTGAATCTATATATCTAGCTAAATTTGTAGATACTTCAGCAAAATTGTTTTTTCCGTGCTTGTGCAAAATATATACTTATATTTTTTTCTAAATTGTGTATCATAAAATATTCATATTTCTTGAAAAAAAAAAAAGAAAATTACATATTTAATGATTACAATTTTTATCTCATTTTTGTTTGTTTTCTCATGCTTCTGTCTGCACAAAAACAAGTGCTGAGAAAGACTTGATTATAATCCTTAGCAAACTATAATGCTTAATGCTTAATCGAGCATGACAAAAACCAAGCCTCCATATAAATCGCGCAATAAAAAAAATAAACTTTATAAAACTGTTTCTTAACTGTGAAGTAAACAATGCACAAATAACTGAAATTTTTAAAAGGAAAGTCTGTTGTGCTATTGAAGGAGAAAATTTACTAACAATGCTCGAATAAGTAGTAACCCGTGCCACAAAGTTTCGTGTTGAAGTAATCGCGTGCGGATGAAATCAAAGTTTATTGAGCTCAAACCTCGTTGTTCCTCTTCGGAAAGTATTCTTTTTCATCCCGAAAACTCAACTAGAGAAGTTCTCCCTACGGACATGACCGTCTCGAATTCATTACGCTGCTGGCCAGAACGAAAGGAGAAATGAGCACGAAAGCGCAGCTACGATGAAAAGGAAGTGAAACGAAGGGATGGAAAAAGAGTGAAGCGAAGATCGGAATAAATTTGTACGAAATTCGATAATTAAACGATAAAATCAAATACAAAGGCTTGGCAGGACATTATTACAATAAAAGAATCAGCTACACCTGCGTAACGTAATGAATTTCTTCTGATCAATAAGATCAGCTATCTTACTAAAGTTATACTGTCACGTGATAGCGACATTAACGTAGATATTATAATGATATCATAATTATCAAAAGTATAGTCTTTATAATGAGGGACAGTCACATCTAAAAGTAATATCATACCGTTAGGTTGAAATACTTTCATGAAAAAGTACAAAAAGACTTATGATACATTTGTTAGCACTAAACTTTTTTGGGAGATTAGGTTTCAGCACGTTGATCGAATTAAAAGCTTTGTGGATAAAATAAAGATCATGCAGAAACACGCAAGAACAAATTTAACTTTAAATATTCCATTTCCAACACGAAAGAAAACTATAAAAAGACCATCTTATTCAGCATGCTACACCGACTCCGGTTTATTTGAAATTTCTACAAAGCCTCTGTTTTAGCAGTAAATGTGTGTACGTTGTGTAGAAGACAATAATAATGCTTAAACACAGCACCAAAGTTGACTGAATCTTCGTCCTCTATGGGCTTCATTTCCTGAATTGTCCCAAAGGAAATATTCAAACAGAAACAGAAGAGTAGTAAGTACCATAATACTACAAGTTATAAATATGTATAATTTGTATCATGCTTTGTCTTATAAAATTATTATGTCCAACAAGTTTCAATATGTATTATAAATGTATTATAAATATATGTAAGATAAATAAATTAAAATATAGAAATATATATAATATTTCGCAAATTTCTTCAACTAAGCACACAAATAATAAATCTTCTAATTTCATTTAATTTCAAGCATTACTTTTGAATATTTTGATAACAAAAATTAAAACATAAAGAAGTTAGTGTGCAGTCTTATTATCACAAAGTTAAAATTATCTTTAAATTTCTTTAAATACTTGTAAATAAAAATTTAATTAAAAATAATAACATATACATAACTCTTATTTGCTCAATAGAGCTTTCCTTTATTTCTAATTTATCTTCCATATACATTATTTGCACAAGATTAACTAATGGATTGCAACATTATATATAATCTTAGGAACACATTGTACTACAAATGCAAGCGATAACAAGTGAAGTCTGAGCAAAGGAAATTCACGATCTCGACTACGCAAAACAGTACACGCTAGTTTGTTAACTACTATATACGTAGTAGCCCACATCGTGGCCTCACTGTGAAAACAGTAATCAAACTTCGGCTCGTGCAGGTCGAGCAACCCCAACGCGGCTTCGCGTATGCTTAAGAGGCTGCTACCCTCTGCATCAGCAATCTCTGGTTACATTTCCCGCATGCCGACCACTTCCATGTGTTTTCTTTCATGTGAAACTACCAATTGTGCTAATTCGACGGGAACATTCACATTTAAATACATCAAATTAAATCAACAAAGATATAGATATGTGTGTCTAATAACCAAAGATATCATATTAATATGCCTTACAAGCTTACTAATATATGTTTGTCTGAATATATGTTTAAAACAATTCATTTGTAGTATATTTGTAAAAAGAATCTCATGACATGCAAAAATGGAATCAATGCTGCAAGTTCGCTCAGCGATGGCAAAGCCAGAGTTAGCTTCTGTAACGGCCCTTGCGGAGGTCCCTCGTATTTCCTCCCTCCCGTCGCCGCATTAGTAAACTGCCTGCTTCCTCTGCACCACGGCCACTAACTGTTACCCCGTCTTAATGGACCGTTTACCTCGACCGACCGACTAGACGACCCATCGCCGTCAGATTACAAGCTTGACCGCCGTCGCTACCATTTGCTTAGACTGACTCTCTCTCCTAACATACTACCTCGGACAAGAGACTTGATGGCTAGTATCATAATGAATGCAACTCAAACAGTTACGATGAAGTCAGAACTTGTATTGTTCAGGTGCTGTCTCTACATTATGATATTAGCGCGAGCACGAGAAATTCGATAATGTATCGTAATATCACACTAAAGATGGACAGAAATGCATTACTTTAACTTCCTCTCCTAGTGAAATCGAGTTCTGACATGTAACATGACAAATTGAGAAAGAGTATGTAGTAATTCCATTATCGAACTGAAGATAGATCGAATTATTATTCCCACATGTACTGTAGCAAAAAGTATTAGTGTTAAAGTGTCAAGAAAGCAATTATGAATATAATTTATTTATTATTGTCTATTTTTGTTTTATTTTTAAATTTTGCAAAACATTTATTTGTCTCATAATCTTTATATATATCCAAGATATTGAAAATTCGATATAAAAGTTAAAGATATAAAAGTTTTAAACATTCGTAACATAAAAAAGCATGATATATTGTTGCGCGTAATGTAAAAATTATTATGCAAATAATGTAACAGAAAAATAGAGGATATAATACCATAAGGTTAATGTCAGTGAACAAGAAAGATGTAAGAGGCAAACGATGCTTCGCCATACGATATTATATCAGAATTTATGAAAAAAAAGGAAGTAAACGCGTCGCCGCTTGTGAAATGAGGTACGATAAAAGCGGAGCAGCCGAACCATTTTTGGCCGCCACCCTCTATTTAAACAAGAACAAAGGAAATTTGTCGGCGCAGACGCTGTCATCGAACGACGCGTATAAACTCGAATCGATGTATATGTTGAAAATAGATAATGTCAAGCAGTATTTTAGCTACCTCTTTTAACACGGGTCGATGTAAGATATTTTCTCCCTGGCTCTATGTGTGTGGCTTCCCTTCGTAGAGGCACAGAAGCATGTTGTAATTTAATTTACAATAACGTTATAACTTGCAAAATTCGATTATCGATATTACGGCAAACATTTCAGTCGCTATCGTATGAACTTTTTTTCTTATAAAACTATTGTTTCGTATACTTCAAGATCTTGGGAAAAATTCAAGGTTCTTTTTAGAATGTAAATCTTCCAAAGCCAGAAGAAATCATATTCCTCTTGCACTATTTTTCAACGTTGATACCAATTTTATTTGTAATGTAAAAAATATTACAAAAAAAAAGTAATCATCAAAAAAAGGTTATCTCTCGTTTTATATAATAAATTTGAATTTTTTTTGTATACTTCAAAAATTCTCACTTCAAAAAGTTTATTATTTATTTACTATAAAATTTATGAAATTACGAGCGATAAAATAAGCTTACAAGAGCACAGAGGAAGGATAGTTTAATACGGAAATATTAATTTTGACAGTGGGTGAACACTCGTTCAATCACATTATTATGTCGTATAATCGATATCATTGATATGAAATAAATCGCTTCGTCGATATTTCATTTAATGGCAAGCAGTTAGCAATTGATATCATCGTTATAATATAAATCGTTTGATGAAAAGTGATAGCCATGAATAAATTGACGCATATATTTTTAGGAGTGAATACAAAGCTGCTCCATATTCCAAGCTGTGAAGGCATCACGATCTATTGTTCACGATGAATCAACCAGGAAAAAGAATAAAATTGTGGGAGCATTACCATCATTGATGTTACATTAATGAGGAGACTCGTATTATTTATCAAACACATAACGATCTTTTAATGGATTTCTGACAAAACAGGTAAATGGAAAAAAAATGAAACAAATGTTATCCACATTAAATAAGTATGTACGAATAAATACATATGTATCAAAATGGAATTTCTCATTAACAATGAAAACAGATACTCTGTCATATAAAACTTTGAAATAAAAAATAAAGATAGTAATTAAATAAATAATTATAATTATTGGCAATACGTGCTATTGAGTAATAATGATAATCGCTTTAAATTATAAAGTAAAAATGATTAACACACTTCTGTTAAAAATCATATTTCGATATTGTTTCGTACACACGTAACACTTGACGAAAATGAAATATAATTAATTATTCGGATTATACTTTTCTCAATCAATAATCTCATATGCACGATGCAATTTGACAAAGATACTCAATGAAGAAAAGGGTAGAAACGATATTTTTCTATCTCTAGATTGCCATTTGCCAAGCATTCTTCAGACATTATCCGAATCCTTATGCGATTCACGTTTTATCGGAGAATATCCTGTATCGAGAAGTCGGCGGCACAAATCTCTTCAGCACAAGTATTTTTTTGCGAAAGAGTTACCGCTTCGTTACCAAAACGGATTCGGAAACTAACGAACGTAGTTTTTCCGTATGTATTGCTTCGTGAAATATTCTTTCTACAAGCAATCTTAATACTTCTACTTCATATATGTAAATTCAACAACTACAATTTGAAATTAAATTTCATGTAAATTTATGAGCAGTACCGACTGTAACTTAAGAATGTAATACGTACGAAAGTTATTCCAAGTAAAAAAAAGAAAGTGTATATCTTATCAAGAAGTGCATGAATAATTTAAGCAATACTTACATGTATACAGTTTTACATCAACTCATTTATTGTAGATAATTCGATAAAATTATAAAATGTAAATTTTTTTTATTTTACTATTACGAAGAAACGTAAAATATTTCTGATTACATTACATTTGTTTTCAAACTTTTTAATCCTTGTGAGAATATTATCTTCGTTTATTTTATTTTAATATATTGTAAATTATTATATTATAAATCAAAATTGATACAAGCTTTCTTTACCAAATCAGGAATAATTTTGTTATAGAATAATCTTTCGTGTGGATAGATGTTGACAGAACTATTAGACTACGTTTCGCATTTTCCGCACTTCTAACATCAGAATCCAAGATAATTGACGCAGATATTAGGAACCTTGCAACCAAAAATATGCATATTTTAAAATTTGTAAGGTACAAGATATAACTTTCTTTGACTTCTTGATCGATTGGTGCTTTTATCGTTGCCACATCAAGCATCCATCTCAAGGCAGCAACAAAAATACATTTGAAGATAAACTATTTGGAATAAATTTATGAGCGAATTTAAGTACTAATCCTCGTGAAAAACATTGTCGATCAATTCGCGATAGATTAGTCTCGTTAAGAGGGAACCTCGATCATAGAAAATTAGTAGTCATCACAGAAACGACCGAATATATACCCAATCGCGGCGATCCCGATAAAACTCTGATGACTCATCGTGCCAACGTCCAATCGCCTTTCAATTGCGATCTCACGGGTCGAATAATCAGGGGAGTCTGTTATGCACGAACAATCAAGAACAGTATAGATAAAGAAGGAAAAAAAAAGAAAAAAAACATTGCAAATTTTGCACTTGTCTTGAAAGCAGTCAAAACTAATCGTCGATATATAAAAGTTATAAACGAGTGAATTGTAAGACGATTTTGCTGCGTAAAAATTTCTTTATGTGCTCGCGCAACAGAATGAAAGGTTTTCAAGAAAGCCAAGAACCATCGGTTGACTTCATAATGCAACTGTATGTAATTTATGGGTTGCTATACTTTCTCGTCCTTGTGTTCGACTATTTTTTATGGACGAGTAAAAATATTGGCTTCCCCCTTTTCAGAATTTCGTCAATAAATTACGCGGCTACATGATAAACAGCTGCAAACTTTGAACTTCCTATGTATTTCTATCGAAACATAATTTTACAATAATTATCTGTCTCGCGATGATGGAGATACTCATTGTCATTTAAATAAATTATTAACTAATGTACTTCTTGACTTATTAATTTTACCATAAAAGAATCTGATATAGAATTTTATAATATTGCAGTATAAATAACCATGTCGTAAATAAAACTCTGTTGTGTCAACGTCAGACCTACAAATTCCGTAAACTACGTTCCCTCGGCTACGTTTTTCAGGTTGTATCCGATTTGCGCAATGTATGCGGGAGCACCGCGAATTATTCATAAAGTTCCTTTTGACGCTTGAATGAAATATAGTGCAGCACAAATATTACAGCACGAGTACGTATCTCATCTATTTAGCATAACTTTCAAAATCTACGGTAAAATATATTTACTGCAAGAAATTAAATCGTTAAAGAAAATTACGTTAACTTGTGTAAGAGGAGGACACTCATTTACATCTCAATTAAATTGATTATGTCAAGCACGATTGAATCAACAGTAACCTCAAATAAATATCGTTGAAATTTAAAAAAAAAACTTGAAAACAAAATTTGCAAATTTTAGTAAAGCTTAAAGCGTCAAGACGTTCTCTCCCCCCCCCCCTCTTTCTCTCTCTTTCTCTCTCAACCTGTATAAATACTTCTAAAAAGAATTTATTATTATATTATGATATATTTTATAATTATTATCCATGATATCAATATGTAACGTATAAAAACTCATATAATAAAATACAATGATCTGTTTATATAAAAATCAAAATGAGATAATTTAAACAATTAGAAAAAAAAAACATTGGAAGAGAAAAGAGATCGAAATAGAATAGAGAATATAACGTATAGAAAAGAGAACTAGAAGACTCACTAGAGCAACAGTTCAAACGCAGTTGAGACGTCGCAAGAATCTATACCCTCTATCTCAACCTAGATGAAAAACCTTATTTCTGTGTCCAATTGAATCATCCCTCCTCTGAGAGTGCAGAATGCGATCGAGAATGGAATGGAGATGGGATATATCTAGCTTTTACGTGAGATGCAGCCATATAGCCGACTGAGCCGATAAAAAGAACGTCACGTCATATATCATTCGACAACTATGCGATATGCATTCATTCCCATGCTTTAGTATAGATATATTGATTAATTACTTCAAAGTATAATGAATATACTGCAGCTGTTCGTATATTTAACGTTCAAATATTTATTTATTCAGAGATATTTATTTATTAAATATTAATATGCCGCGAGAATTTACGCCTGAAAATTTTGGCTATTTTAATGAAATTCTTAAACAAATTATGAAAAATATATATCAATCTGCCAAAAATTATATTTTTTGCGTTCCAAAAATTATTTCACTCGCTTATCTAATCACAATCAATGTGTGTCACGTCATAAATAATTTTTCGTAGGCGAAATCAATACAAAGGTCATAGGAAACAAAACTCGTAAAGCGTGTCTCTTGACGATGCAATAAAACTTCACAGTTAACTTCTATCTTATCAGTTCGTGCTACCTTTCTATTCTGTCGTGTACGTGAACGGAAAATAATATAATACTATTCACCACTCGTATGTTCATGTATGCGTCGTACTGTGATAGTATAGGAATCACACATATATACATTTCTGCACATGTATTATACATATGTATCCAGAAAGTCATTTGTCTATCTTCTAATCATGTCTTTTGATCACAAAGCAGATAATATGTACATTATGTCTAACTTCGCGAATATGCTTCTACATTTCAATACGCTGTTATAATACTGTTACAAGATCATAGAATAAAGAATAGCCATAAGATAGAATAAACTCAGGTGAGATGGCATACAGAAAAGATGGCCATAGGCTTTTAGAATTACTAAAAAAATATATATTTAGCAATTATTAGAGAAATTACAGACTACGACCATTTTTTCTATGGCCACAATACCCGAGAAAGTTTATTCTATTTTTTCTTATTTTATATTGTCATTTTTTGTTAACAAAAATTCTGACTCAAGCAGATACAAGAATACTAAATTTAGAGAGAAATGTGCCAAAGAGAAAATACTTGTTCACTTAATTAAAATCGATAAAGAAAATGGTAAGAGAGAAAAAGTATGTATCAGCAAAAGAAAAACGCGAAAGGAAAATAATTCTTTTAAAGAAAAAAGACGAAGAATGATCCAGACGCGATCGTCTGTAATAATAAGCGACATTTAATAAGTCGCAAAATATTCAAGTCTCCCGGTGTTAATAAACGCGCTATAAATAAATGGAATTAATATTTCCGTTCAAGTGGCTAAACGTGGAATGAGTTTCTCGTACTCAAGAATTCATGGTGTGCTGAACGTGCAATTCGACGAGAGAGGATTTCGCCCGTCCGATAGAGAACCGACGATGAGAAATAATAGAGGGTCAGCTGCGCGCAGCGGGGATGTCATCAGCAGTCGCGGCATAAAAAGCTACCTCTCCTATACAACATCGTCGTGCAATTAGCACAGCGTCAAAAGAGTCAAACCCGACGCGCGACACAACAGCTTCCAATATTTCTCATTTGTCCTTCTGAGTTATACACACCGGAAAATTTTTATTTATTTAATACGACGTATAGTAAACCTGACGCGATCTCAGACGCGAGTATCGATTTTGTAACTAACCAGATAGCGAATAGTGACCTACCGAAATGCAAAAATAATCATGCAAAAATAGAAACTTTGCGAAAATGCTCGTCTCTTTACGTTTATGGATAGCGAATTTTGGAAAAGCTAAAAAATCGATAGTCTTTCATTTATCACGATATTCCAATCATATGCAATGACTCACGAAACTGATCAAATGTATTGCACAACAATTATCTATGAATGTTCACGACTGACAAGTCGTACTTGAAGAAAGTAATCAACAAAAACAGTTTTTTAATATCAATATAACATAAGCGCAAAAAATATCTATGATCACTAACATTTTTCATGGATATTTTCTTTAAAGATACCAGAAAGTTGACCGGTTATCGCTGTGTCTTTATGCATTACCAACGTTTCGTGAACGGTAAACCTTGCCCTGATGAAGCGAACAAGATTCACGAAACGTTGGCATTAGCAATGGACACGGCGATAATCAATAAACCTTCTGGTATCTATGATCTCTTCATTATAGACATTTTCGTTCATGAATTTTCAAATGAAATTCCTAGGAATCATACAATTTCATCAATTTTATGGATTATTATATATTATCCTATTATTGCATTAATTTTTTTTAATTTATATATTATAATTTATATATTATAATTTATATATTGCTTTAAAAAATTTTTAAAAAACAGATCTTACAAAGATATGTATAATGGATTAAAAAATTGGACTTTTTATTATAAAAAGTGATTTACATTTATCAAAAATATAATTAAAAACTCGATAATAAAAAGAGAGAAATCAATGCAAAAACGTAAATGTGCGACCTATTTCATTGATAAGAATTAAATAAATGCGCATTTGATTTACACACAATTTCCACCGAATATTATTTAAAACAGTTTTTTATAGAATTAATGTAATTCTCACTGTTGCCATCATGGATTATAATGAATTCAGTTAATCAGCATGAATACGACTAATCGGCAACGTGAATGAAGCTAATCCGCCTCAATACGACGAAATATCCGACGAAATATCCGATTTCGCGAAAGCTCACGATCCTAATCCTACTTCACCGTAAATACAATCTACACCCGAATGAAATACATGTCGCACTTCATATGTATCGCTTTTATCAACTGTGCATCAGTATCTGTTAACTAGCCACATAATGTTACGGTCCATTGTAGAAGAAATGTATGTACATCCCTTTCGATCTTCCCTTTCAAGTTTCATTTTTAATGGAAATTGTAATGGTCACTCAATATCGTATGATAAGCAAAACCAATTTTCTTCTAATAATAATATACGGTATTTTTGACGAGTAAATTTTCTGTTAGAAATAATATAAATAAAAAGATAGCATTTTTTTCTTTAGATGTCTTACGATTATTTCAGGAGCCAATAATAATTCGCTGAAAAGCGATACTTGCGATTAATGCTCAACAAATTGTAATACAGTTTAAAATTATTTTAAACATATCTTTTATATAAAATAATATACATAATTTTCGTCTTTATACATATATAATATTTGCATAAACATACTTTATTTCTATAAATATTTAATCGACTAAATCACACGAAATGGACATTGAAATATTTTCGACATCCTTCTGCAATTGAAATGGGTAAATTCTATTACTCTCGAGCAGAGAGAAAACAGGAGAGATAGACAGGAAGAGAAAAAAATGAAGGGAGACAGAGAGAGAAGAGAAAGAGAGAGCGAGTTTGAGGCATTGAGCAAAATGTGCGGATTCAGTCGGCGGATGTTACGCGTTTGCGGTAATACCGACGAAGAATGGATCTATAAGCGTGGTCTCGCAAAGATATGAGAAGGGTAGCGCGAACTGACGGCCCATCCACTCCGTGAGCTCTTCGGGGAGCCATAAAAAAGCTACCCACGTAGATTTTCTCACTGATCGATTATTTGCAAGAGGGGGATCGCTCCACGGCTCGACAAACTCTAACTTCCGGGATTTTGCATCCGCAAATTCTCACACGTGCTCATGATGCGGCGTAACAAGCTTGAGGTTAATCTTCCGTTTGGCATGATTATTGTAGTAAAAATAGTTCGTGCATCTACTTCTAAATTCGTTTTCCTTTAATCAAGAATTAATTATCGAAAAAAAAATAGCATATTGTTTTAAGTTATTCACGACTAAGAGAAAAAGATAGACCATCTATTTATCCATGATTATTACTGTTCTACATAATTTACGTCAGTTGTCAATAAGTGTTGTATAATTATATATTTCGTCAGATAAAAATTTACATTTTTTATAAGATTCAAAACTATGTAATCTTTAACATACAATTATATTTTTATGAAAATCTATAGTTATCAATTTTATCAAGATCATCTTTTTTACTACAATTCAATTACCGATAAATTCCCTT